TAACTGCATATGTATATGATGACCCAGATTATGTAGATGCACGTAGTAACTAATGGTGGAGAGCTGCATTAGGGAAGACACTAGACATCTAAGGCATCTTGCAGTCAACATGGGAGCATTGATCCAGCTCCAACCCTCCTGCACTTAACTCAGTGGCCACTGGAGTAGGGGGAGCAACTACGAAATACAGGGTGTGTGTGTGTGTGTTATATCACATACATATGGTGTTGACTGCTATATGTGTGTTAACAGTAAAGGTGGCATTTTGCCTCCCCCCCAAGAAAAGATCCTATGCAGTACTTTTCAGTACAACACAATCACCCTCCCCCAGAGCCAGACCCCCCAACACTCCCCATCCCAATGCATTTACCCCATCCCAGAGCCAGGCACCCCCAGTGCCAGGAGCACCCCCTCAATCAAATCTTCCCATCCCTTGCAGAGCCAGGCACCAGAGGAATGGGACAGGGTAAGGATAGGAAACTTTACCTTTAAAGTCGCCACTTCTGCCAGCCAGCTGGGCTGCCTCGGTTCAGTGTGTAGAGGGAGGGAGCATGTGGCCAGCTCCCGGGTCTCCACTCAAATATCACAAATCATGGGTAGTATGAATGCTTAGCACTCCAACCCTCCTGCACCGGAGTAGGGGGAGCAACTATTGGTAATAAGAAGACAGGGTGTATTTGCTATATCACATGCATATGGTGTTGACTGCTATATGTGTGTATTAACAGTAAAGCTGGCATTTTGCCTCCTCTCCCCTCCCAAAAAAGAGCCTATGCAGTCCTTTTCAGTACAACACAATCACCCTCCCCCAGAGCCAGACCCCCCAACACTCCCCATCCCAATGCATTTACCCCATCCCAGAGCCAGGCACCCCCAGTGCCAGGAGCACCCCCTCAATCAAATCTTCCCATCCCTTGCAGAGCCAGGCACCAGAGGAATGGGACAGGGTAAGGATAGGAAACCTTACCTTTAAAGTCTCCACTTCTGCCACCCAGCTTGGCTGCCTCGGTTCAGTGTGTAGAGGGAGGCAGCATGTGGCCAGCTCCCGGGTCTCCACTCAAATATCACAAATCATGGGTAGTATGAATGGTTAGTGTGAGTGAATCAACAGGAATGGAGGCCATGCTGAGGTCCAGGGACGAGCCCTGGAGGATTATGGACGTGTTTACAACTTTAAGAAAAAGGACTGAGTAAGATAAGAGACTGTGTTTGCTGAGACAGCATTTCCCAATAAGAGAAAGGGAGGATTATGGACTTGTTCACAACTTTAAGTAAAAGGACTGAGTAAGATAAGAGACTGTGTGTGCTGAGGTAGCATTTCCCAATAAGAGAAAATAACAAGGGAAGTATCTAACCAAGGACAGACCGTTGTTTCTCACTCGTGGTGAGGCAAGAAAATTGGGTGATACAAAAAGCAGGTGTTTCTGGATCAGTTGTGGACACACCAATAAGGAAAAGGGGGTGTCACTCACGGACATCACCCCACCTGGACTGTGAGCAACCAGTGGATGGCATCCCACTGGACTGGCCCCTGCCAAGCAGATATATACCACACCATTTTGCTTCACAAATTGGAGTCCATTGATTCAGCATATTGGGGTGATGTGCAAGTCGGACTTCCACCTCAACCAAACTAACCAACATTACCTGGGTCTGGCCAGCCCTCCAAAGGGTGAGAGTGTATGTGTGTTGGAGTGTGTGTTAATTTAGCAGCCATCAACCAAATTAACTAACATTACCTGGGTCTGGCCAGCCCCCCAAAGGGTGAGAGTGCATGTGCGTTGGAGTGTATGTTAATTTAGCAGCAGAATTCTTAATTCAATTTAGGTTAAGAATTAGATTTAGATTAAGTATTCAATTTAATTATTGCTTGCAAGCCTATTAATGACTTTCACTGTTTTAATTATTTAAGTACTAAATATACATATAGGCTGTATAAGGGATCTTTCGGAAAAGGCTTTATTTTCTGAAAGATCCCCGTCTAGACTGGCACTTTTTTCCGGCAAAGCCCTGAGTGGCATCCATGTTTATGCAAATGAAGTGGGGGGGGATTCATTTGCAATTGCGATGTGTCTAATTTGCATCCCTTTTACGGAAAAGGGATGCAGTCTAGACACAGCCTCACTGTTTTAATTATTTACGTACTAAATATACATACAGTGCTTTTAAAATTTGTTCCTGAATTGCTTGCAGTAAAACTTGTTAAAGGTACAGATTGTTCACTGTGGGTCTCTTGTTCTGTGAGTCAGCGCCCTCTTGTGACAAAAGCATCACATGGTCCAGAGCAGCATGCACTCTGGTCCCACCCCAGCCCGGCGCCCCCCTAGCATGGTACCCGAGGACAACTGCGCCCCCTTACTCCCTGCCACTCCCTCTTCACTACATCTCTGCAATCACTTCCCATTCTGGTATGTGTGAAACTGATTGTTCCTTCCTAAGTGGAGCACTTTGCATTTGTCCTCATTAAACACCATTATTTTTCCTGGCAAAGAAGTTAAACTGACTGGTCTGTAGTTTCTAGGTTGTTCTCATTTCCCTTTTTATAGATGGGCCCTAGATTTTCCCTACTCCAGTCTTCTGGAATCTCTCCCCACTTCCCTGACTTTTCGGAGATGAGAACTAAAGGCTCAGATAGCTCCTTGATCAGCTCCGTGAGTAGTCTAGGCCAGTGTTTCTCAACCTTTATTTATAAAATACCTCTTTAAAAAAAAAAAAAAAGTACCCTCAACCCGCCCCCGCCACCCAATGCCCCCAGCCCTCCTCCAGAACCAAGCACCCCTAGACCCACTGCTCTAAACCAATGCCCTGCCCCTCCCACACCTCCTTGCACTCCTAACCCTCTCCACTCTAACCCAGTACCCTCCCTCTCCAACAGAGCCAGGCACCCCCAGCTCCTCCGCTCTAACCCAATGCCCTCCCCCTCTCCCAGAGCCAGGCACTGGGCATATGGCAATCATAACGCATGGAGATGTGAGTTCCCACCCCAGCCTGGTGCCCCCCTAGTGTGGTGCCTACAGGCAACTGCCCACCCTACCCCCTTGCTACACCACTGATGTGGAGCAAAGCTTATTGTGCCGCGTCACTGCCTTTGAGCTCCTCTCCACAGCACCACCGGGAAGGGGCCATGGGGATGCATTGTACTGAGCTGCTGGTGGAGGTGGGGGTAATGTTGCATGCGCATAGCAGTTGTCAGTGTCCAGCTGTGAAGCTTCAAATGGTCAATTTGACAGGCACATGTCACCACCCTCTCCCTGATCTCCTTTGCAGGGCCAAATCCCAGACATACTTTTGCCAAATTTCACTTGTGTTGAGGTACCCCCCGACTTCTCTCGTGTGCCTCTAAGGGTACTCGTACCACTGGCCAAGAAACACTGCTCTAGGATGCATTTCAAGAAGCCCGGGTGACCTGCAGACATCTCACTTTTCTAAGTGATTTTTAACTTGTTTTCCTATTTTAACTATTTCCTGTCTATCCCTATCCTATTTCCACTGGCATTCATTAGAAGGACTTAAGGCTCACAAAACTAAAGCATCCCTGAGGGAAGCTGATTATAGATAAAAATATATATTTAGAAAACTTTACAAATTTTCTGCTATACACATGTACATTGTTACAAGTTATATACCAATATAAACACGCTAGGCACATACACACCCGTATGTCCTAGCCTGGTCCAGCGTTCCCCTCATGCCCAGGGCTTCTTTCCATGCTCCCCCAGCCCTCTCAGCAGGGCCTCCAACCAGCTGCAGGAGTGTGAGTCCTTCCCCCAGGCTGCAGGACTCACCCGGACGCTTCGCTCCATGGCTGCAGGGACAGCTCATCTCCAGCCAGCCCTGCAGTACATCACTGGTGACTGGCCCAGCCCTGCGGCTCCCACCCTGGGTCTCTGATTGGGAAGGATACTACAGGCTCAGCTGTTCTCTGCCAGTTTCCAAGTCAAAAGTTTCCCCTTCCTTCCCTGTTCCAGAGGCCAGAGCTTGGGGTTTTATCCCCTGTGGCTGGTCCCAGCAGAGCCTGCTGCAGCCTGTCCCACCAGGCTGCCTGTGAAGGACATAGCAGCTGCCTGTACTTTGGACTGGAACACTCATGGAGTAAAAATGTTGGGTGCTGAGGGGCGGTGAAAGCAGGCGGGTGCGCTGTGACACGCAGCTCCAGCAAAAGCCGGCTGAGTGCGGCAAAAGCCAGCAGGGAGCTATTTACACAGCTGGCAGGGCCCCGGGGTGCTACAGGAAAGGACCTGTCAGAAATGTTGAGTTACTTTCAGCCCTGGTGCTGAGTAGGGATGTGAAATACCAGTTAATTGACTAGTCGAGTAACTGCATGAATTCTGATTGGTTACTCGACTATTCTTTAGTTCCCAGGGTGGGGCCAGCAGCTAGTGTGCTCCAGCCCCACTCTTGAGGAGCCCCCTGCCACTCCATGCTCCTGCCTCTGTATTAGAGGCAGCAGTGCAGGGTGCCAGGTGGGAGCTGGTCCATGACGGGAGCCAGTTTAAAAACCAGCTCCCCTCTTGGACTGGCTCCCTGTCGCTTTGTGCTGCTGCCTCTGATACAGAGGCAGCGATGTGGAGTGTCAGCAGCCCCTGTCTGGGGGGAGATGAATTCTGGGCTCGTGGAATTGGCATGAGCGGGGCTGCTGGCCAACCTGCTAAAAATTTACTGGTTGGGGGGAGGGAAATGCATGTGATCTATAGATTAACCTATTAGCTTTGGCTTGTTGTTCAATCGACTTCACTATTATATCCTTGTCCAGCAGCCTCTCTACCAGCTCCCTCCTCTCCCCCAGGGCTTCCTGCCTGCCTGACAGCTGTTTTGTGTTGTGTGGGAGGCTGGGAGGGGGGAGGAGCAGGGAGGAGGAGGGCTCAGGAGAGGGGTGGACCTGGGTGGGAAGGGGTAAGGGTGAGGGCAGAGCAGAGCAGAGGAGGGGCGGGGCGAGGGGCAGAGGGAGGGTGGAACTGTGAGGGAAAGGGAGAGTCAGTGCCTGGGGCACAGCTCACATTAGAAAATTCCAGACTAGAGCTGCAGCCTTGGCCAGACCAGCATCCCTCTCTGAGTTCAGGATGGGGCAGCTGCTGGAAGAGAGCCAGAGGAGACATCCCATGATGTGGCTTCCATGTGAAATCCCTGGCGTGTCTCAGAGCCTCAAACAGGCCGATCGGTGGCAGAGACTCTCAGCGGGGAGCTCTGTGCTGTCCCTCAGCGAGTGTCTCTCTTCCTTGCTGCTGGGGCAGCCCCCTTCGCCAGCACATCGAGAGCCGCACACGCTGAGGCCGCTTGGCACAGCCCCGCTGACAGGACTTGGCCAGCTCATCCAGGCCACTTCATCCAGGCCATGGTCACTTCATTTCGCCTTCTAGTTTGTGGGCAGGTTTGCTGCAGATCCAGCGTTGAATGTTCCCGCAGCTTGAACTGGCGACCACACTGCCGCTCAGATAAGCGCATTGTTCTTCTCCTGCGATCGGAAACCTGCAACAGCAACAAACCATGAACAACCCTCCACGGCTGCTGGAGCAGCTTCCTAGTAGTGAAAAACCAGCCCCGAGCAAGTCACCCCAAGTCACGCTGCAAATGTAGGAAGGAGCCAGGCACTGAACCCCCATTGCCCAAATCACAGGCCCAGGTTGTAACCTCAAGGCCGCTCTCTTGTTTTAAATACAAGATGCAACATTTACTGAGTTAACAGAAGAAAAGGGGACTCACCAGTTGTTGAAGTCGGTGCCATTGGCCCATTTCCAGGTCTGGCCCCGTTCTCTGTCGAGCCCGATCCAGTAGTCTAAGGATCCTCTATGGAGTCTCAGGAAATCCTTTGTTCAAAACATAAAAGCCAACGTACATTAGACAGCTGCCTCTCTGGGTTCTCTGCAACCTACCCAGGGCACTGGACAGGGAGCCCATAGGCTGGGAATTCTGCACCAAGGAATGACACCCACAGGCAGTGGGAAGTTTGATTTTGCCCTGATTCAGAAGGAAAACAAATGTCAAACGATCGGAATTTCCCAGCTGATGCAATTTCCGATTTTCAACCAGCTCCGTTATTTAACGGCTCGGATTCTTAGCTGCATCCAGACCCTGAACACACCTGCGTTCTTAGCAACATCTCCCGATTTGCCGAGAGTCTCCTGTGGTTCGTTCTTTTCTTAACTCCCCAGCTCCTGCAGATTACAAGAGTCTCGTCTTTCACTTAAAAGGTGAGTTTCTAGCCCTTGTGGCTGCAGAGAAAATGTGACCCACTAAAAGCTACAACACGGGAACGTAACACTCTCAGAGCTCATGGAAGAAGTGGGCTGTTCCCGTGACTGCTCATGACACCACCTATGTGTTTTGTTAGCCTGTAAGGTGCTACTAGACTATTTGTTGTTGACGTTTTTCCAATTACAGACCAACTCGTTCACCCCTAAAGAGCTCAGAGCTATAAAGTCAGTCACATGACCCTGAACACACCTGCGTTCTTAGCAACATCTCCCGATTTGCCGAGAGTCTCCTGTGGTTCGTTCGTGGTGTTCCTGAGCAGAAAGCTATTCCCCCACGAGAAAAATTATGCCATGACAGAAAAAGAGGCCCTAGATATCAAATGGGCCATCGATTCTTTACGCTACTGTCTTGGGAAAGGGGCTGGGAAGCATCTGGATTCCCCTGCTGGGAATTCTCCGGGAGCAGAGGGTCGGCACATGAGCCCCACGTGGGTCCGACTCCGTGCCCAGTGTCTTGGGGGGATGGGTGTGGGCGGAGCACTGAGAGCTCCAGCTGTTCTGGGCTGGGGAAGTTGCCCTGAATTCAAGCAGCTTCTGGGACCAGTCCAGCCCCAGGACAAGCCCAGACTAGAGCCACCTCTGGCACCCCCATCCCCTGCAGCCCAGAATCTCTCTCACCATTTCCCACTGCAAATCAATCCCAGCCAGGGAAGCACCGAGGGCAGAGCAGTTCTTCTGGCTCTCGGTCCAGTTGGCTTCTAGCTCTGAGAAATAGTAACACTTCCCCTGGTGGGTATATGAGGGATCCGAGAAGGGAGTGGGGGGAGAGCATGTGTGGAAGCAGATGCAGGTAAACGGGGAGGAGGAGGAGGGTGCGGACAGATGGCAGGGTGGTGAAGAGGGTGCATGGCCCGTGTCTGGGTCAGGGAGATGGGACGGCCACTGGCCGGCGGGGTGAGTTAGGCCCAGTGAGGGTAGTGGAACCCGTGAGCAGGCGAGCTTAGGGGTAATCTCTCACTTGCTACCATCGGGAGCTAACTCCCGGTGTTAGGGCCCTGGGCCAGGGTCCGGAGTGAGGGCGAGCCTGGACCCTTCACCCTGTCTGGAAGGGCGATAACTGAATATATAGTGGCGTGTAGACACGGAACTAATTCGTGACACGTGGTGGAGAATGTGGGTATGATCCACGCCCTGTAACGAGGGCGTGAGTACAGGGAGTAGCAATATTTGTCGTTAAAGGGGTAAGCACAATGGAGCCGAACAAGATTCTGGAGTGGCTGGTGGACAATCAACGCCAGCTACAGCAGCAGCAGACTGAGGTGCTGCAACAGCTTACCACTGAATTTTGGGAGCAGCAACGACAGCTGATCCATGAGCTAAGGGAAGGGGGCAACGGTAACCCCGACGGACGAATCGCAGGTACGGGACTCGGGGTAGGGGACAATGAAGGAACGATTGGGACTTGTCTCCCGATTAGGTTGGCCAAGCTAGAGCCTGAAGATGACCCCAAAGCCTTCCTGGTGACTTTTGAGCAGGTAGCAACGGCGGCCCGATGGCCTCACGAGCATTGGGCTATGATATTGGCACCTTATCTCTCTGGCCCCGTGCAATTGGCATATCGGGGAATGTCGGACAGGGAGGCCCTCTGTTACTATAAGGTAAAAGAGGCAATACTGGATCAACTGGGTATATCACCCGAAACCTATAGGCAAAAGTTCCAGGCCTCCAAATACGTGACGGGAGAACGTCCCCGAGCGGTGGCCCAACGGGTGAAAAAGCTGGCCTGAGTTGGCTGGAGCCTGCAACCAAGATGGCGGCGCAAGTCGCCGACTTAGTAATATTGGAACAGTACCTACAGGTGCTGCCTCCCGAAGGGCAACGCTGGGTACGCCGTCACCTTCCCGGGACCCTCGAGGAGGTGGTCTCTTTAATGAAACATTTTATGGCCACGGAGGGTGCGGAAGAACGTAGTAAAACAGGGGCGGGGGCCAGCCCGGTGGGAAGAGGAGGGGCCAGTCCGCGGGGGAAGGAGACCCGGAGCAATGGAGGGCTGGGTCCGAGAATCACACCAGGATGGGTCATGGAGCGACGACTCGCCCCGGTATGGCGCAGCCCGGAGAGACAGGAGAAGGATGAGGCCCGCAGTGGCGAGGAGAAACAACCAGAAGTCAAACCCGCAACCACCTTGAGGTTAACGTGTTATCACTGTGGCCCATGATGGACTGTACGTACGGACAGCCTACCCCGCGGAGAGCCCCATGACCGGAGATAAGCAGAGCCAGAATCACGCGGATGGTACGCTTGGATGGGAGACTAGTTGAGGCGGTGCTAGACTCGGGGTGCGGGCAGACGCTTGTAAGGAAGGACATCCTGAGAGCGGGGACACGCAGCGGTCGTCAGGTATGGATTAAGTGCGTGCATGGGGACACGCGACCTTACCCGACCGCCCAGGTAGTCTTACATGACGGGCAGCAAGGGGGGCCGCTGCAGGTAGCGGTGGCACAGCGGTTACCCTATCCCGTACTGT